TTACATGCCACTCTCTTATCACGCCCCTGTATTTCTCTAGTCCTGTTGGTTCTCGTAACCCTCGGGCTTGTCCAAACCGTTGATCTCGAAGTAGCGGCTCGTGCCTGTCTCGCTGTTAGTGATGTTTGTGGAAAGTTCGTCGTCCAGTCCAACTCACAAGAGTAGCCCTTCCAGTCAAAGTTGTCCTTGGGGTTGCAGTGGCAGCGTCTGTCGAGACGGACCTTCTCGCCAGTGGGGCAATGGGTGAAGGGAACGTGGTAGTAGGCGATATCGTTGAAGAAATGAATCTGGTCCTTCGGCAGCATGAGACCGGCGGCGATGGAGTGCACAGGCGCGTCACCCCAACGCTCGTAGAAGAAACCACCGTCCTGGTCGAGGGACTCGAAGTAGTCAATGTAGGCCTTGGAGCGGAGCCAGTTGAGGTCACCAACTTCAAAGTTGGACCACTAGTTTCGGTCAGTAACGTCTCTGGTAAACGTCTATTCGTCTGTCAACTTACGAAATGGCAGTGGTTGTAAGAGTCACCACCGTCGTCACTGAGGAAGCCCATAGAGTTGCCCTCGGCAATGTGCTCGGGGTGGTTCTTGATGAACTTCTTGGTGCTGTCCCACAGAGTAGGGATGGTCTCGACGTACTCGTACAAGCTCAGAACGAAGCTGTACTTCTTGTTGTTCTCCTTCATGAAGCGGAACGGATCGTAGTGGATATCGCAGAAGAGCTCAATAGAGGGCTCAACACGCCAGTAGTAGTCGTAGTTCATCATGGCAGGCTGGCGGAAGAAGAAGCCCGACTCGAAGCGGCACATGTGGCGGTAGCTCACAGAGTCGCCGTAGATGATCTTGCGCTGGGCCATGTCCTCACGGACCTTGCGGGCCTTCTCCTGATCAATGTGCTCGGGGAAAGACCAGTGCTCCTTGGGGATTTCGCCGTAGTGAGTCTTGCCGGAAACAAGGGAGGTAGTGACCTTCTTGAAGGTGGCATCGAAGGGCTTGTCGTTCAGGAAGACCCAGTCGTAGTTGTAGCGGCGGTTGAATCTGTCCTCAACCTGACGGATGGAGCGGGCAATGTCCCAGATATCGGAGTTGCGAGCGAGAGTGACGAAGGTGGCATTCATACGCGGGCCGGATGCAATGCCAGAGAGCTCATCCCAACCGGGCTCGTTCGGGGTCATGGCCATGGGCCAGTCCTTGGGGTTGTATGCCTCGCCGACCTTGGGACCCTTGGCTTCGGATTGAGCGGGCTGCTTGGGCTTCTCGGCCTCCTTATTCTCGCCTTGCTGCTGTTGCTGGCCGCCGGCTGGAGCACCGCCGGGTTTGCTGAAAGAGCCATCCTGAAGCCTTACGCCCTCGTAGCTGGAGTGGGAAATGAAGTAGAAAACGGCGAGGCCCTGCGCGAGAAGTAGATGTAAGCACGGGATCATGAAGCTCCGGTGTCGCATAAATCACGGAAATATCGTCGAGATGCAAATGGCATCGTGCCGTCTAGGGATCAGAGCTGACTGCGCTCGCGCAGACAGGCAGCCTGGGATCAACTTACGAAGAAGGCGAAAAGAATGTATCGCACATAGCGTGCTGAGCCTGTCGCCATCTTGACCGATATATACAGGCCTTTGATGGAAGCCCGGGTCGGTTTGAAATGGTTGAAGTAGAATGGAAAAGTAAGAGAAATCCCGTTCTTCCCCCGAGATGAACAAGGGCAACTGGGAAGGGGAGGAGAAAAAAAAAGAGAGGTGCACAGGAAGGGATACGTATTCGTACGAGTCGACGGGAGAGAGGCGGATGGTTTCTCTGGAAAATGTTCAGAGGAGCTGGATTAACAGGAGCGCGCTAGCAGCCAAAGCAGCCCACTGGTTCTGGGGGACCTGAAGAACTCTCACAGGGTTGGGGGGTACGAATGCAGCGTACGCGGTGCGTCCACCCCGAGAAAAGGGAGCGCTAGCAGGAAGTACCGCGACGTGGAATAAAGGGGGTGGGGCGACGACTTGGCCTGAACCCAGGAGGTTCGCAACTCAAAAAGAGCAGTCAGCAGCAGGCAAGTATCTCACGCGGAAATATGTATGGACAGCTACTTTCGCCAGCCAGCTGTAGGTATCGCCCACTTCTCACGATTGAGATTGATGGAGGCAGACCTGAACTCAACAGCTGCATTCGCCCATATTTTCTGGACATGAGCCCCATGCAGAAGCGAGGAGGTGCAATTACGTGCGAGAGTCGCTAAGTCTATCTCCTCTTGAGCATTTGTGAAGACCGACATGCAGAAGAAACAGTTCAACGAAAGCAGGGAGAAGTCGAATACCTACTGAGCGTCCGTACGAATATAGAATATCACGGATACAGACAGGCTGGCGACTGACAGGCCCAGAGTAAGGTACACGAGACATGGATTCTGGACATGGCATGCTTCTGACAACTAAGTATTCTCCACGTATCTCTCTTCGCCGCAGAGGGCTGCCGCGTACCCGTTCCCAACTCTTGGGCTTCCCTTCTCCATATGATCGGGGACAGGGAACGTGGCCACTGTGAGAATCTGTTGCAGCGGCCTCCCGTCAGCCCTGGGACTCTGGTAGACGGGACGGAGTCGACCAGGGGTTGAGAGGTGAGCAGGAGCTTTCCCTTCCATTTGGAAGCTGGCTAGCATCAGCTGGAACCCCATTTAGCACTGGCCGACCGACCCAATGGACGGGAAATCTCTCCGTGTGCCACCCACATTCACCCTGCCATTCGACGGGATCAAGCCGTGATGGTAGACTCAGGGACAAAAGTAAAAGGTGTACCTAAGTAGTCTGAAGCTGGTAATGCTTGCACACATGGTTTCTCCCCCAGAACAGATAATCTTCATGTCTGAAACTCGCTGCCATCCCTTCTGCCCTGCGTTCCAGAGCTTCTCAGCCCCCTGCGCTTTCTTCTGCAATGGACATGTACACATTTCCATTTTGATTGCCCCTGGCAGATCTAGCGGCCTCGTGTAGATTAGCTAGGTACGTTGAGCCCAAGGTCTTGATAAGTTGCCAGGTTTTACTCCGTATTGATCTCCAGATTCCACACAATGATGGACCTGCTATTACCGTACGAGTCGCAATTCTTCTTGCAGCCACAGCAGCCCAGGAGAAAGGTACCTATGCTCAACAATAAGGTAGTGTCAGACCGTGGAATTCTCACCTGGCTCTTGGCGACTTTCCCAGCATCGAATCAATGCAACACATTTCGATAACGCCAAATTGGCTCTCTTGCTAGGCTCGTGTGGCTTCCGTGCCTTTAGCTGCTTGCCGCTCGTATCCCGCCCGGTGCCGTGCAACTGATCGCCGAGCCATTTGCCCCCAAAGCTCGCGCCGAGAGCTCAGCTCAACTACTGCAACCGACTCTACGTCTGCAAACGACAACCTGGTAATACCATATTCAGTTGTCAACATGTGCTCGCGTTCGGGTTTGCTCTTTGCACATGAAAACATTCACATAAGCAGCCCATGCGACTGGCTGATCTTCGACAAGAGACTTACGACCATCCCGAGAGGTGCATGATGCACTGTTGACAGCGGACTGTCCGAAAGATCAGAACACCACACGCAGGGCACAGAGCACTGTGCTGGTCGTGCTCATACCTTACTTATGCCCGCAGCGTCAAATCTGTAACCATGTGCCTTATTTGGTACATGGAGCATTCCGAAGAGACAGCCAGCCACCATGTTCGGTCGTCTATTCTAGTCGAGTGGTCCGGAATCACCAAACGGGATGAACCTGTCAAAACGTCGCTTCCTTGTGCTTGCTTGCTTTGGTGCCTGGTAGGCAGCCAGCACCGACTAGGTGATAGATTCCTGTCTAGCGTCATAAGTGCCCTACGTTCCAACCGATTCTGGCCGACATCGCTCAGCGATATGAACTTGAAATGTGTGTATGACCCTCAACGATCTTTTACTGATGATTAATGCCCGAATCAAGGGAGGCAAGTCAACAGCACAGCGATCTACAAGAGTCGATACAGAAGTCGAAGTGTTCAATGGCATCAGTCAATGTCGTGAGCCTTCTTTCCTCACAATGGGCAGTGAAGATTAATGATGATGGTTTGAGATCCTGCTCTTCTGCCAACACTCAAGTGAATGTTGTTCAAATACTGAGCTAGATTGTCGATCAGACTAGGATATGCGAATGGCTCAGCAGATGTTGAAGGAAGCCTCGGAATGCAAACAAACTGGGAACACTGATCCCAAATTTGTCGAAATGAATATAGATGAAATAGATACATGATTTCCTACAGTATCGAAACGTCAACATCATCATAACGAAACAAAGCGAGTGGTGAGTATTGAATCCAGGCAGTTACTATAAACAGAGTGCTTCATGGCAGCATCTTGGACAAGGCTGGAGACATTCCCAGTTTTCAGTCCATGTATGTCTCATCTTCTCATAATTGAACTTTGGTGGATTAGATACCATTGAATCTGCCATACGAGTGCCTCTATAGACTGTAGTTACATCACCTACGTGAACAAACAGGGTGCAATGGAGGATGGCTGTCACCCATCAAGATCCCTGATCAGGACCCCTCCATCCACATTGGGCGAACAAATACAGGCCACGATGACGAGAGGGGCTATCCCCCAGCCCATCCCCAAGCAGCCGGCGTATGACTAACCTCCCACGTGACCGGAGTCATAGCAGCTCAGCTGTCCAAGCTTGCTCATTGGCTCGGAGTAAGCCATGTAGTGGGGTCCCCAAGGCTCTCGAGCCTCAATTCCTCCCCACGGATGCGAATGGTGCATCACACTCTGGCCATCGCAACCTAACCCCAGCGACGCGACTCTTTTTGCTTCCTTTCACGCTCCGAATCACACCTGGCGCATTGTGTTCAACCTGTGCCTTGGTGAATATCTTGTCTCTGGATGTCAATTCACTGACCAGATTCGGCCACAGCACCCCTGTTTATGCCTTGTCGCTTTGCTCTCGGTTTTGGAATTTGTCTTTGACGACATCATGATAGTTTTGGGAGCTGCTACACCTAAATCCACAGATCTCTCGTTCTCTTAGTGGTAAGTCGCACAATTCTCTTGCGTTCAATCTTGTTTTAGATTCTCGAGAGTCTGCTTGCCATGGCCCCTGTCTCTTTCCCTGTTGTCTTCGTAGCGGCAGCTGCGGCCACTGCCTGAACTCATGAAGGCGAGAGAGATGCCGGGCAACTTCCTTGCCACACCAGTTCAGCCATATTGATCCCACGAAGCGCGAGGGACCACTTTCCCCTGCCCTCCTTGAGCCTTTCAAGACCCATCTTGGTCTCTGGTCTTCTTCTTCCTTCCCTCAACCTACGATCTTCAACATCTCTTCCTCAGCATCTATTTGCCTCACTTCTTCAGAGACCCAACCTCGATGCTGACCACGACCTAGTATACAGCTATTTCTCTTATTTGAAACGAAGACGGACTAGTTGTTCAACATGTCTTTTTTCGGTTTCGACCCGACACGCCCTGCTAGCCACAACACGGCGGCACCAGGCTTCTCGCAGACCCACGATCCTTTCGCCGGCCTTTCTCGCGGCGATGCCGAGGACGACGACGCTGTCGAGTTCGACGATACGTACGATGGACTAGGCGACCAACTCGAGGAGAGCGGTGATGCTTTCAATGATGACACGTTCGGAGGCGGTGGTCCGGCTACCATCTCGAATACTTCTGTTGGAAAGGACTTCGACTTCTTTGGCCAAACTGCAAAGGTGTCTGATGCCATCGAGGAGGAGCAGGTCCGCTACAGCCGTCAAGTTCCAGCCGCCAAGCCTGCTCCCGCACCTGCGCCCGTCCAGCAGCATTACCAGCAGGCCCAGGCTCCGCAGCAATACTACTATCCTCAAAGCCAGCAGGCCCCCAGACCTGTTCGCACTGGCTATGAGAAGTACAAGGATGCGGAACCCATTCCCGACCTACATGTCGATGCGTCGCTTTGGGGCATGCCTTCAAAGAAGAACGCTATCCCAGAGCCTTCCCCGAAGCCGCAGGCTGTCCCGTCCGCCAGCAGGAAGGTCATGAGCCTGGAGGAGGTGGAAAAGGCAATGCGAGAGCAAGCCACCCAACGAACCCCTCAGCCAGCTTTCTCGGAATCTGCGCCGCCTTCTCAGGGCTACCCCGGCCCTGAGTACGGCTACGGACGACCCGAACCTGCCCAACAGCAGTCCTTCCAGGGCGCCGAACATCACCAACAGCGTGGTGGTCAGCCTCACCAGCATCCTGGCCATGGACATCCCGTACAGATCCTGCAGAGACCTCAGTCCATCACCTCCAAGCCGACCCCGCCCATTCAAGGCACTCCCAGCCCGCTCGCACAGCCTCCTCACTCCCAAGCCCCGCCTTCGCAGCCGACTCAGATTCTTCAGAACCCGAACAGACTCTCAGGCGACGCCGCGCGGCTCGGCGCTCATGGCCCTCAAGCTCATCACCAGGCCCATGGACACCAAGGACACCGTTCGCAAGGCTCTATGGGACGTGTTCCGTCCGCCAATCAGCAGCAGCAACAGCAGCAACAGCAACAGCATCTCGCACATCTGTCGGAGGACGAAAAGGCTGCCTACCTTGACCAAGAAACCAAACGTGCTAAGCGCAATCACAAGATTTGGCTCCTGTCTAAGGATAACGGCCTTATGACACCCCAAGACAAGAACTTTGTTACACGTATTCAACTGCAGCAACTCGTCTCGGCCACTGGAAACCCTATCGATAATACCAACGATGATTCGTTGACTGAGGACTTCTACTACCAGGTCCTGAGCCAGATCCGCGGCGGCCAACGTCAGAACCCGAACCAGCCGTTGAATAACTTTGCTCAAACCTACCTCTTTCAGACTGGCAGCCGCCAGGGCAACATGAGAAGACAAGGACGGGCAGCAGAGAACCATGTTCAGCGAATGGAGCAGCAAGTTCAACGTGCTGTCGAGGCTGCCAAGAACAAGCCCAAGAATCCACAGCTGGTCATCGCTGGCAGTCTTGGAAAGATCTCTTTCAGCAATGCCAAGACGCCTAAGCCCCTCCTCAACATCAAGCGAACTGACAGCAGTGGAGATGCCAACCGTCCTGGCAACGGCAAGCGCCATGGTGAGTCGAACAACCTGGATCGCAAGGCCATCTTGCGAAACATTGAGAAGGTCTACAACACCATCATGAAGATGGAAGACCACGCCCGCTTCATTCCCCCTCCGCCTACAAATGGAAATGACGAAGAGTTCCATGCTAAGCATCAGGAATGGTTGGAGACGGCCCAAGGCTACAATGCTCAGCTTTGGAACGATCTTAAGGTCCATGAGCCTATTGGCGCCACCACCCTCCACCCCTTCATTGCGTTCCTGTCCTTCCCCAAGGGCAAGAAGGCCATTCCTCGCGTGTTCCGCCACATCAGCTTCGAGCAGCGCACCACCATTCTGACCATGATCATCATCCACCTGGACCAGCTCGATGTGGTCTATGGAGCTCAGACTACCGACGGCGAGGTCAGCCTCAATGCTGCTATGCGCGAGAGCATTGAGCTCTTCTCCGCAGCTGTCATGCCGAGCCTGTTTGCCTACTTTAATGAGACAGAATTGGACATCGTGACGGGTGTGCTTGGTCTTATTAGCACCAAGTTGAACATTGATCTCATTGCGAAGACTCGCGTGGGCTGCTCCATGCTGACTCTCATTCTGAGTCGAGCCGAACTTTTGAAGCAAGGTGGCGGAGGTAGCCCTCAGCTGTGGGCTGAGTGGTAAGTCAAGAAACATCCAGTCAGCACTCACATGTATTAACAATTCCACAGGGAGCAAACCTTCAACATGTTCTTCAACAAGCTCGAGCCTACTCTCCACCACATCTTCCCCGGTAGCGTCAATACCGGAGAAGACGTTGTGGTTTGGCAGCTCCTCGCTGCAGTTGGTGTCAGTGCCAACCCTGAACAGCAGCAACGCCTGGTCCTTGCCGTCAAGGACCGCGTCCTCGACACCGTCGCGCACGCAAAGACGCTTCCGGGCGCCATGGCAACTACTCGGTTGGCCACTGTCAACCTTTTCATGCACTCCATTGGTTTGGATGTCGAATTGCTTCAGTAAGGGGATGTATGAGTGGAACAGAACGTGCGATCGCGGCGTTTGTTGCGCCTTTCGCGGTTTGAGACGCATTATAGTTGACTGAAGAAACGCGTTGGGATGCTTGGGATATAAAGGATCTTACGATGCATGGCCCGTGATTTTTTGAGGGCTTTGGGGCCGCTACCGAGCTGTGGTACTGGGACTGCAGTTTGATTGAGGCTTCAACATGCGAAGATGGCTTGTCCTATGGCAATATGCACAAACATATCTTGTGTACATTACGCACACGACTCTTATGAGATGGCGTCGCCATATTAGTATCAGGGGTGCGTTGCGTGTTGCTAGTTAGAGCAAAAAGAAAATCTGCATTTAAAGTTTAAGCAACGATCTGGTCTTCTCTGAGTGACCCCTTCTCTATAACACCGTAACGCCTTAGCTATGCAGAACGACCTTGTGTCAAGGAGACGGTCCATTATGTGAGATCCATGCTTGAGGATGCTTGCGCAGGCGCAGGCGCAGCTCTTGCTTTGCCTCCACGCCGCGGCCCCATGGCACCCCTGGCTTTGGGCTTCAGCTTGCGCGCCTGCTCTTGAGCAGCTGCAGCAGCCGCCGCCTCAACTTCCAGTTCCGCCTTTGTCAGGACCTTTGGCTTCTTGATACCACTGACAGCCTCCAAAAGCTCGTCGTCGCCCCATTTGGTCTCCAACCTCGCAACCTTTTCAGCCAAATCCACCACCGGCTTCTCCTCCTCGGCCCCGTCAATAGCGGCCTTCTTCTTCTTTTCCTCGTCCTCCTCGTCGACTATGGGCGCCGGCTTCTCTCCGGGCGCGCGCATGATGAGACTCTCCTGGTAAATCTCCCAAGCGGCCTCGTTGTCCTCGTCCGTGTACTTTAACTTGCGCCAGTTTTCCATCTGAACGGAGCGGAGGCGGTCGGCCATGGTTTCGCTTTTTGCGGTGGCGCCGTCCTGGGTCGTCTTGATGGTCATATGGATCGCGCGCGCGGCGGCCGATTGGGGACCGGGACCGCCTGCTCCTACTCCACCGGGGCCGCCTGCTCCTACTCCACCGGGGCCGCCTGCTGCCGCGGCGGATTCCTTGGCTGCTGCGGCGGAGGCGTTGCGCTCTTGTTGGGCTACGGCGTCGACGTGGTGGAGTTGGGGGCGGAGGTGGACGAGGTTCGTCACGGGGGTGAGGTGGAGGTCCTCTAAAGGGGATTACTTGTCAGTAGACTGAAAAGCTGAGGGCTGGCAGGAGAGGGAAAGGGAAGAGAGACTCACTTCCTTGAAAGACGCCAATCATGTACTGAACCTCCTTATGGTCAGGACATTGACCGCCGAGCGTCTGCGTGCGGAGGACCTTGTCCTGGCGCACCGCCTCGGGCCACTCGAGGTACAAATCATCTTCCAAATCGGCATCACCGCGCCTCTTCTGCCTGGGCGGCGGCGCGCCGACGCCGAAGCCGCCAGACAGACCGTGTGTGCCGCCGTTCTTGGACTCGAGACTGGCTTTCAGCTGGCGACCCCACTTCATGCCCTTTTCCTTGTCGTAGGACTGGGTGTAGTCGAGGGGCACGTCGACCTCGACCATGCCGGAGCGGCCCTTGAGGCGCATCTCGGTCGGGGCGGTGGTGCGCGGGTCGGTGCGGTTCGGTTGCTGGAGGACCCAGAGCTTGCGGCCCTGGGGGAGGGAGGGGTTGAAGAAGACGTCGTAGGAGGCGACGACGGGGTCGGGGTCGAAGGAGTCTTCGGTTGTGGGCTCCATTGTTGCTGTTGGGGCGGTCATTGTTGTGGTGTTGGTGTTTTGTGGGATTGGGTCAGGTCAATTCGTGACTTTTGTCGCCCGAGATTTGCGGTTTGAGGTCGGGAAATTTTTGGATTGCGCCGGTGAGTCTACCTACCTTGAGGGACCCCACGGCGGGATGAACGTCAGTTCTTATCGATAAGAGTGCTGGAGCTCACCCTTGTCCGAGGTGGGGGACGACCTTCTTTCTCATAGCTTCCTCCTTGCACTACACCCTCTGTCTTCGGAGATTCACACCTTGACGACATGAAGAAGGCTCTTTTTTTGACCAATGTTTCTTCCATCATAGCATGATAACAGAGTTTGGTCAACTGAGAAAAAGGCCCCAATCCTTTGGCAGAGGAAATGGAATTTAGCCCTCATCAACTTCGCTGGATCATTGCGTATTATGCCGGAACAGAGGAGCTGTTACATCGCTTTCACATTCAGTCTGTAACGAACGCTGCAAATTGAAACTCTCCAGAATGTTGCAAGGCAAGCTCGACAATATGGGATCATCTGCCGCATGAGTAGTCTGAAGGATCTCTCTAGTTTCTCTCCGGCATGATACCTTGTGCTTCCAGTAGTGAATGTACAAGGCAGCACGTCAGTCGCATTGGCTATGAGAAAAAGCTTCATAATCGTATCCTCCGTTGCATTGGCTTGTGACTTCATGGCAAGCACACCCTTGCTTTGCTGTCGAAAGTGTTGCGCTCATCTGCTGTGGCGAGGTTGGGTTGGAGCGACTGGACATAACGTGCCGGCCTTATGAGAGAAATGCAGTTCATGCAGGCTACCTTCAACGGATTGAGCCCTACAAACGAATCAATGGGTGCAATTCTTAGTTTTAGTCGACGGGTAGCTCACGATCCTTGGACAACTGGCAACGCTATGTTGCCGTCTAAGCTGGTTCAGGCTAACATCGAAGTAGCGCTGATGAGAGACACTAGCAACCACGTGAAGACTTACACGCAAACCCAGCTTCATTCTTGGTCATCTACCTTAAGACGCGAGCACAGCCCTTAGGTTGAAAGCTTCAGAAAAGTGACCAGAGATCATTATGATCTTACATGAAAGCCATCGATAGCCCCAAATGGCGGCCGAAGTCCCCAACTCACTGAACTGGGTGTCTTTCGTGACGGGCATTCTCTCCTTCGCCCTCACAACTCTCAACTTGATAGCCCTTTACGGCAATTTTGTCGCGACTATCAAATCGGCACCCAATGAAATACGAGATTCACTAGGAAACCTTCGACAACAACTCTGCGAAGAGAGACAGGCTCTCCGGCACCAGTCACGAGAAATCCGCACAAAGACGAAGTTGCGCCAGCGCCTCCACAACCTGACTGACAGACACGCCAGCCACGAAGCCCGCAGCGCACTCTCCTACGCGGAACAGACGCTGCCGCTTCACTATCTCACCCTCCGCGACCTCTGGCGCACCTTCAAAGAGCTCGAGCGGCCGTTCCTCATCGCGAGCGGATACCGCGCTGAGGCGATCCATAACGGGGCGTCGTGGGGCGAGGCGGATCTCGACGAGAAGGTCCGAGCCGATTTCGAGAAGCATGGGGAGCAAGGGAGTTTTGCGGACTGGAGTGCGATTTACAAGTGTGATTTTGCGCATCGGTTTATTTGGTGGCAGATCAAGGATGATGTGAAGAAGCTTGGGGACGAGGTGATGCGGATTATGGCGAGGAGGACGGAGAGGGAGGTTACTTATACCCGTATGATGGTGAAGCAGATTTTTCAGGGTGACGGGCCGGCGCAAATTGTTGACGTGCGTCCTCCAAGACGGCCTCCTGGAGGAGGTGGTGGTGGCGGTGGAGGGGCCAGGAGGCGTATGAGCTGGGGAACTGGGCCTGTGAGGCGGAGTCCGATCCCGATGAGACGAAGTCCGGCGCCGGTTAGGAGAATTCCCGTCCCTGTTCCTGTGAGGACGCCACATCACGAACGATACAAGAAACATGACGAGAGAAGCTCGAGTTCTTCCTCCTCCTCCAGCATAAGTAGCGGCAGGGACAACGAGACGACGAGACGGGGCATGGATGTGCCGAGACGAGGTAGTCCGGTGTTCAGCGAGCATAGACACAGTCACCCAAAGAGCGACGCCGCCACTGTTGGGAAGCATCAGCATCGTCCTGATCATCAGTCACAGACGGGAAGCAATCGATGGGAGCAGTTCCGCGGCAGACCTACGCGGCAGTATGATATCCGGGAGTACTTTGAGGGTCGGGGACGGGATCATTCGAGGATCATTGAGGTTATTGCTGAGAGCGAGGTCGACTATTTTTCACCTCGATCGCGGCACAAGAATGACGGCAAATGAAGCAATCTTTTCATACTTCATAGATTGAAGACTTAAATAAATTGGAGTCTCCAAAAGAGTGAGATTGATAGGGTGTTCTTGTTGTTCGGTATAATATTTGGCAGAGGAGCCGTAGCATAACACCTCAACAGATTTATTAACATTTGATTTCCAATTCAATATAGAATATGTCCCAAATCATCGCAGAAAACAAGTTGTCTCAACTTTCATCTATCCTTCTATACCTTTCCAGATGAACATGATGCGGCAGATGTATTAATACGCCTCATGCGTAACTCTCCCCATGTCTCATCAATTTATCACTGTCGCCAAGATCCCTTTAGCATCCATCGCGGCAATACAACTCTCTGATAACACTCCGAACTAGCCGCCTCGGTTTCATCCTTTTCAGAGCTCGTTGTCTGCTTGCTGGCTGATTGGGGGTTTGAGCCGGAGTCTTCGTTTACCAACAAGCTCTTCCGAATGTCTTCTGCCCGGACTAAAAGTCTGGGTTTTCTTTCCGAGGGCATGGCTCGGTGTTTGTGTAACCGAATTCACTGCACAAGTTCGTAAGAGGTCATTGTTGTAAAATCAACCACATCGGCTGGAAGCTGACTTCTTGATCTGAGATACGCCCTTTTTGCGGAATCGAACGTCTTCCAGTCGCGGGACTGGTCCCTTGGCACATGGATACGCCTTCGGCTGCAATTATCGCAATGCTTCGACATGGCCAGGTAAACGCCTGATGAGACTTCAAACAGGGGCTCCTCGTCTAATCGAGCAGCTGAGGAATCCCTACACTCCCCGCAGACTATGGGAATAGTCTCAGAATCGCCTTTTGAGATATCCACGTGCCTCCAGAAGTCTTCACAAAGTTGGATTCCGAGCCTTCCCAGCTTGCTATTCTTGGAGCGCTTGGCGAATGACCTCGGGCCGTTTATCAGCTGTTCCAAGGGGTCACAGATATTGAGCCCAGCCCAAGCATAGGGTTGAACTTCACAACCTGAAGGCAGCCTCATAGCTAGCTCGCTCGGTGGCAGTGTCCGAAACATGAGGGCGGCGGACTCTTCGAGAATAGTCAAGAGGAGTTGTTATCGATCTCTCTCAAAGTCGTTGGTGGGTTGCCTTGGTAACTGTGCAAACTTTAGCCAGACATCATACGTTCCCCTTAGAACCCAAAACGCGACGTGGGTTGAAGGTAATTCTTCATGCTCTCCGATATTTCGCTCGGCTTCAAGTCTCCGCTGGAAGTGGAACCGTTCTCGTGTATGCTCTCTGATACGTCTTTCGAGGAACTGTGATTGGCCAGCATATATACCAGCAGTGCTACTTTGGTTGCAGATGACATGAAGGTATACTGCCCAAGGACAAGAGCCATCGGTTGGATATTCGTAATTTCTCATCTGAAGTAGAGATTCCAGGTCGAGCCTGTCACCTTGCAGCAGGGTAAGGATTTCAGGGTTGATGGCTTCCAGTAACTTGGACCGAAGGCGGCCAGAGCCTCCCGAGTCTCGGACAAAAATGTCTCCTCTTCGAGATTCCTTCAAGTGCTGGAACTTTGAAGGCTCCTGAAGGCCATGGATAATGTTGTCGAGAATTCGTAAGTAGCTGGGTAGTTTGCTCGGAGTGACTGCACATGACTTCCATCAAAGATTAGACATCTAGATAAATCACGCGATTGCGGTGACTATATCAACTTACTGACACCACGTCATGGGTCCTTTGCGTCCACTTTCGTGGAGGGCGGTGATCCACAGCGTTCTTGGACAAGGTGCTACTGTATCTATCCACCCAAACGCGAAAGCAATGGTATCCCATGTGTCGAATGAGTGGCCGCTTGAAAACAGAAAGTACCGTAATCCAACATGTCCATGGGCGCCAGAGTCGTTTTGGCAGGGCGGCGAGCCCACGTTGCAGCATGCCGGGCTATTGCAGTCCTCACACACTCAATATCTGGATAAGACACCGTAAGGATACAGAGCTAAGGCCCAAGGTGGGTTTAAGACTACCAATTGGATAAGATGAGACCGGATCTTGACTATTAAGCCACAGTTCTCAACTTAATTTCTCTCCAAAAGTTTCCGTGAGTTGCCCGTAACTTCCAAGTCTACTTGAGCTATCAATACAAGTTGCAGCTTGAAGGAGATAGAAAAAGCCGAAAACAGAGAGTATTTTGTAGACATCTTTGTCCTACGAGAGTTAACAAACTTGGTCTTGAGAACTGAATGACAGGGAGACTTGTCTCAACGCCGAGATCTAAGGAGGAGGACCGCGCTGTCTCCATCGCGACAAAGAAGCTCTGCCCTTACCCTGACATGCAGAGATGAATGTCTTTGTGCCGTTTTGAGTCGAATGCCCAGGGGCAATGGTGAACCTAGTTTGCTTTGTGTGAACCATGCGCAAGATGAGACGGGACCTTGGATTTCGAGAGTTCTTTATAGATAGAAATCAATGACAACAATACTTTCGACAGCGAAGATTCCGAACGTCGGTCAACCACCAGTCACAGAAATAGCATCAGGGAGGGTCTGGTGTATTGTGTCGCCTCAATGCTACGAGTTTGATTGGGACTGGATGGATCCCGGTGCTCCTCTGAGAACGATTCGGTATAGAGGAGCATCTATATCCCTACTTTGTTTTCGGGCATTTGAGTACTGGCTACTGACTGTAGTAGAAGTATCATCAAAGGTCTATCATCATCCCGGCTCTATTCCTGTCCTCATCAGCAATCAAGGCTTGTCTTGAAACTTTCCCAATGCCTCATTACCAGCAGTAGTACTGCCAATGTCCCCACTATCAACAGACTTGACACCCGAATGCGCATTATCCGGCTCCCCAATCACCCCCTCCTTGACAGCCTCCCTCGCCTTCTTCTTCTCCTCCCACTTGAAAGCAAAATGAATACCAACAAAAATGACGGCCGAAACCAGCGCGAAAGCAAGATACAGTTTCGCGCCGATTCGCCAGTGCGGCGCCTCGGATGCCGGGAACGCGGCAATGGGGATGAAGGCGCTCATGATGTAGGCGAGGACGGTTCCGCTGGCGAAGAGGACGGTGCGCACCTCTGGCTCGGCTTGGAGGTGGGCGGAGGCCCAGGAGCATAGCAGCATCGTGGAGACACTGAGGAGAGTTAGAGTGGTATTCTGAGGGTTTTTGATCCAGGTTTTACGCACGCTCCGATGTAGTTCATGTACCAGCCGGCCATGTAGGCTTGTTGGTTATTAGGTCGTATGATGAGGATGATTTGCGAAGTGATGTTGATGACCTGCATGATGTTAGCCAATTGAAGCAAGATTTACATATACGAGTCTACTTTACCGAGTGAAGAAGCAGAAATGGTAGTCTGACGCCAAAGTAGTCGCTAAGGCCGCTGAACAATAGCTCTGCAACAAGTTGGACGGCTTGGCCAATGATTGGCAAGTAGTTGAGCATGGCAACAGAGCTACAGAAACAGTCAGCGCGCCATCATATCTCAACTAGAAAGGCGTATACTTACTATTTGACTGATCCGTCTGCGTTCTTCAGCGACTTGAGCCACAAGTTAAAGTAGCTAGCCGGCGTAAAGTTCCCACCAATGGGCCAAGCGACTATAGCACTTTATGTCAGAAGACATGCTCAACACTCTCAAGAGAACATTGCTACTCACTAGCAAAGGCCCAAAGTTGCCAGAAGCTGAAGCATCGCAGGAACGACTTGATTGTGATGCCAATTTGAGGCTTACGACCAACCCTGCGAGCACGGGCTAGAGCAATCTCGATGTGTTTCGGCTTCAAGTAGAACTTTGAGAGGGGGTTCGGGCGTTCGGGCTTTCGTACCATCAGCATATGCTCCTTCAAAAGGTCACTGGGGGACAAATAGGGCATCATGTTGAACTCACGTAGCCCGGGAGAATGAAAAACGCAGCCAGAGCTACGGCTATGGTGCAGACTCCCTGGTAAAGGTCATGTCAGTAAGCCCAAGCACTAGCCTCAAGCTCTCAGACAAAAGCTTACGTTGATGATAAAAGCCCAGCGCCAACCAGAACGTCCATGCAGACCCTCGAAGTTTGTTGAGAGTGCCCCTTGCATCGCACCAGAGAGCATTGCCCCGGCCGGCTGAGCAATGTTGTACAGACTCATGCGGAGGGCAACCTCGTGGGGCATGTACCACTGACTGATGAGGGTAAAGTAGCCGGGCCAAGCAGTGCCTTCAAAGAAACCAATGAGGAAACGGAGGCCGTAGACCTAGTTCAAAGTAAGCGACACCGGCCAAATTGCGGTGCAATGGGCTGGGGGTGAACTACCTGCTTCGAGCTGGTGACGAGTGAGAGGCAGCATGTAAGGATGCCCCAGATGAGCTGTTGGGTTAGTTAGTGTGTTGTTGCTTGAGAAGGTCTCTGAATAGACTTACTTCGCAGGCCGGCAGCCATTTCGAGGGGCCAAAGTGGGAGATGATGATACACGAGGGGTACAACATAATCATGTAACCGATACTGCATGGCACAACAATGTGAGAACGCCTCTTGATGCCCAGTCGGATGCATGGACTGACTTGAAGAATGTCGTAAAGTAGTTGAGCTCGTTCCCCAAGAGATTGAGGTCCTCCTTCATCCCTGAGACGTACGCATTGCTCTAGAAAACGCCACGTCAGTGGCTGGAGTTGCCAGATTGCACACGGATTGGGTTCATACGATATTTGTCTGGTCAATGTATCTATGATGAGGTGTTAGCTTCCGATCTGTCCAGCGGAAGCTCAGTCTATACTCACTTGAACATGTAACCCAAGAACCCGATTGTCAAAAAGAACAAGTCCAGACGCCAAAGCTGTACACTGGTTCAGTTACTGCACTGATTATACAGAGCATGTCGGGAACCTACGAAAGCTCTCTCCTCCTTGGGATCGATATCGTCCTTTGAATTGCTCGCGACAGGGGTAAGAATATCTTCAGATCCAGATTCATTGTCTCCTTGCTGAACCGGGGGCACTTCAGCCGCAACCGGGATAGGGATTTGCTCTGGCGCTCCCATCTTGGTTCTGTTGCAGTTGAACGACAAGCTGAGAAAACTCAACGTCTTTGGAAGCAGGGACTACGCTTGTGGATTCCACTTGGCGTGGAATGTAAACCTCGACGATCAATCGAGGGCATACTTATAAGATCCAACAAGCCAATGGCTACGCCAAAGGCCGCGAATCCTTCATGATGGTATCAAACTCAGAGGCAAAGACGTGCTCTGCATGGTGATGTGCGCTGGTGGAGCATCCCGACGACCTCGGACTGGGGGGGTTGACTACGATTCACGTTGCATGCTATCCGTAAAGGGTCCGAAAATGCTACCTCAGATGTGCATTGTATAGGATGAAGCTCATCAGAAAGCCATTCGTGATTCTCAGTCGGAGACTGTCCGTCAGTCATACTAGCGCCGGCTATATGTGCCGAAAACCAGAGGGGCGTTGCCAGCAATTTTGCGACATTGACAGGGGAGAAGACGTGATGCGCCCGACGCACACCACGGCCAGATAAGCACCAGCGACTCTCCACATATGCCTCGTCGCCGGCTTCTGTGATCATTGGACGTGTGTTTCCCCTGTCGCAATGCCGCCGCGACATATGATCCCTTGAGGCTTCCTGCATGGCCGTGTCGGCGAGAGCCCGACGCTCAGCACCTGCCCATGCGCAAGCATGCAAGTGTCGAGCTTGCAGGCTCTTCCGTCGGCAAAAAAGGTTCATGCACATCCCCAATTGGAAGAGATTTCGTTCTCCGAGCCTTGGTTATCATCAGGTAGGCGGGCAGGGTCCGTACGCAGAGGTGTAAAGTCTGAAGCCTGACAGCTCGCCATTGCTCAAGATTAAGCCTCCCCGGCGGGGATCGAGTCTTGTGTTGAGTTCAGGTGACTCGCCTTTTGAGCATACTTTTACGTTTTCAGACATGCGCATTCTTGACATCATGTAGATGATGCTGCTGCGTTGATGTGGACTTTCACCGAGCATGGCACTAGGAAAGAAAAAATGCTGTTCGTATCTTCATGAGAAGTAGGAGTCCTGAGTAGAAGGCGGCGAGGATTGGGCTTTGCCTTCCTCGATCCAACACTCGAAAAAGAGGGGCCCAGCTTCAACGGAGCGAAGTGGTGTGGTCGAGGCGCCTCCGATATGTACGCCTGGCACCGGGTTCATCTTTGAGGCGGGCTGAAGCGCGGGTTCAGAAGGAATCCAAGGCTGAGGGTGCTGCATCAAAGTCAGTACAAATCAAAGGCAGCTGGCAATAAGGGATGCGATGCCTACCCCTATCGGCGCCGGCGCCTCATCTCGCAGCTCAACGGCCATTGTGAAGGTACAGCCCTCTGGTAATGGCCCCTTCATCTCGGCGGCATAAGCCAGACGTCTAAGAGCTCCTCTGTACGCCTCGTTCATATCAACCCAGTTCACCGAGCCGTCATCATCGTCTTCCTCCCGTCGCTGGAACCTCTGTCCCTGACCAAGCCTCTCCTTACCCTTGCCCGTAGCCCAGGCTGGGAAGTTGGTGACATCAAATACCCATCTCTCCACGACCGCCATGGTCTCTGCGGCATGAACCACAACACACACTTTGGAGACGGCGCCGAGAGCAATTTGATCCTGTATCGCGGCGAGGGCCGAGTTGATCCATTCGCACAGGGCTGGATGCCGGGATTGGGGAACTGGTAGGTTGTGGGCTTTGGTCATTAGAAAGGTTTGTTGTGGATAGAGGCGCCTGTAGTACAGGATTGTATGTATCGTGAGCGTGAGAAATGTTGTAAACGAAGTCAAGATGGTGTTTGCCTGCGGCCGCGGGATGGCTACGGGTGGTGCAGAAGCCGAGTCTGGCCTCGAACTAGAAGACATGGTTTCTGAGGAGGATCTCGAATGCCCTTGCTAGACAGACAAGATGTTGATGGAACGGCGAGATGAGAGCTCGGTCTCGTTCGTACGGAGCCTCCTGGATCAGTAGGGCGCAGGGGAAGACGAGAGTCGCGGTGGTGAGGAACGAAGCGCGACTGGGGGGGATACGACATTTACGCCATGTCACATGCTCCCCATACACACGTGACTCTGCACGGCCCATTCAGGCACCAGGGAGGCAGCCGACGATTGGTTGCAGTATGCGGGGCTTGTCCACTTATAGGGCTGAAGGCAGCGAGTCTCTGACGCCACTCTGCGAACCCCTCGTGGCCCCCCGTGGCTCCCCCCCCCAGCTGCGACCCAAAGCCTGGGGTTAGCTCCCTCCTGTCCCTGGGACGTTTCTACACTTCGTCAATCACTCAGCATCCGTCTGGAGAGCCCAACCCAACAGCAGTGAACGAAGCCCAACGCCGTCTAAGCCTCACTCGCAGTCTACTTAAGCGTTGAAGTTTCTTGCAGACTTCTTCTCGAATCTGCCTCTTTACAGACACACATACGTAGAACTCAGGAATCTACCCCTCATCACCACAACCCCGCCATGGCGAATCCTCTCACCTCGCAGCCTGTGCTGCAACAAATGGCAGAAGCCCTGCCTACCCATCCCAAGGGCGACACCACCTCCGACATTAGCAGTGGCTATGAGCTCCCCGCCCTCCTCACTCATGCCTGTATGGCGTCTCTCAAGTTCCGTCTTTTGGGCTTTGACGAGGAGAAGCGGATAGGTATGGCACTTGTCCTTGATAACAGTGCCTCAGACTCCCAGCTAACACCCACCGTAGAAGAAGAAGTTCAAAGCCTTGCCCCGCGTCTACCAGCATCATGGAATGCTGGCTATGGCTCTCTCCGCTTCGTCTACGCCCACAAGCAGTCGTCCATGACGTCCATCATTCGGATTAGCAAAGTCGGCGGCAAAGTCGAAATCAGTGGTCTCGCCGTTGGCCACGATGTCATCCACAGATTTGAAATCACGACAAAGGACGTTATCAACAACTCAAAGTTACCCTTGCGCATCACCCTCACCGAGGACGGCTCCGAGGATAGGAGCGACCTGGTCGAGAAGCTCAAGGAAACCTTTGTATCAGAGTCGGCCATCACCAAGCTCATCGACCAATTCAAGACTGAAATCATTCAAAAGCTCATTCCCAAATTGCAAGCCGAAGGCTACGAAGAATCGCCCGACGACAGGGACGCGGCAGAGAACGCACAGCGAGAAGGCCGCGCTCAGGCCGGTCGTCCCGGACGGCCGTTACCCGGTGATCTGCCGGATCCCGCGCGCCCATACCCAGTCAACGATCCTTTGGCTCAGCCTCCCAGACGGCCCATTCCTGCCGGAGACTTCCCGCCGCCCGGGTTCGAAGACGAGTACGAAATCAACAGGCCCCCTCGCCCGCTAGCGCTTCCCGGTCGATCACCCTACAACATCGGCCATGACGACCTCAACCCGCCTGGTCTCGGTCCCAATGACCCCCTGAGAGCATCTTTCATTGGTGGCGGCGGTCTCCCCCGACCTGGAGGCGGCGGTGGAATGCACCCCACCTTCGATGACCCCCTTTTCGGAGGGCCGGGTGCGCAAGGAGGCGGCGGCTACGATCCCCAAGCGCCACCGGGTGCTAGATGGGACCCCCTTGGTCCGGGTGGTATGCCCAGACACGGCGGTGGACGTGGAAACCCCTTTGGAGGCTCGGGAGGGTTTGGAGGTGGATTTGGTGGAGGATTTGGAGGAGACATCATCTAAACGACCAACACTGTCGAGGGCATTGGTAAACCATTCAGACTGTCTCGAGTAGTTGTAATTGTATGCCCGTAATGAGATATGACAAAATGCCCAAATTTGAATCAATTCCCCTCTTCAGTACTCCTCTCATCTAGTGATCATCTTTGAATATCGTGGTTATGCCAGAGTCTATGCGAACCCCAAAGACGCCTCAGGTGCACCCAAATACGTCCACCGCAACTTGTGCACATCGTAACCTTCAACACTTACAGCCCGTTCCTCGCCCGGCACCACATCGAACCCATTCTCACTCAACTTCATCCCGCGTTCTTCCTGAATAACAAAGCCCTTGACCGGCCTCTCCGCAGAGACAATCAACGCCCCATCCCTCACCTCCACGCGCACCTTGCGGTCCGAAAAGTCGATATACTTCAACGGCTGAGGCCACGCCGTATCCTCCGCTACAGCCTCCCCATCAACAAACAGCGTCGCATGGATAACAAACGGATCATCCTCCTCCGGGAAAAACGGCACACTCGCGTCCCCAAACTTGTCCTCCACAGCCTCGACCTTACACTTCTCAACAACCTCCGTCGTCGCGTTCGCCTCGGCAACAACCTTCTTCTCAACCCTCCCTCTAACCTCCTCACCCGTCTCAATAGAGATAAACCGCACCACAAGATCTCCAGCAACGGCATCAACCTTCCCACTCGCAATCCACACCTCGTACTCCGTCCCCCGTGCCCCGAGCGTCGGATCAGCATGACACTTTGTCCACTCATCAACCCTCCTCCCGACACCGACGTCAATCCCCCTCAACGCCCTCCCAATCGCATAAAAAGCAGGCTTCCTCACAAGCCAATAATCCACAATCGCCCAGCTCACCGTCGGCCAGCAATCGTTCAGCTGCCACACCAGCGCGCCGCCACATCCTCTCTTTCCTGGTGAACCCCAATCCCGTCGCCAGGCTTTATACGCAAACGTCATGGTCTCGGCCTGCATCAGCTGCGTGAGGTACGTGAACCACGCGAGATCGTAGCGGACGCGGAAGTTCTCGACAATGTACGTCATCATCCGCCGCTCGTGGTCGTAGGCTTTGTTGCGGAAGTCGAGGGCCATGGAGCCTGGGCGCCGTTGCGCTGGGGAGGTGAGCATTTGGTTTGTGGTGGTGAGGTGAGGGTAGCCTTCCATGCCGAACTCGGAGACGAAGCGGCCTGTGAGGAGGTGGGATTCTTGATACTTGTTCATTGCGCCGTGCCAGACTGGGTTGGGTGTGTTAGTTATTCGACTTCTTGCACTATTCCAAGAACTTCCAAGGAAGGGGGGGGGGCTCACTATTCCACTGATGAATATCTCCAACCGTCGGATCAGCAGTCGGCTTCCCATCACCCCATGGACTACTCGGATGATACACCGCCCACGGGCTCTCCTCCTCCACAATCTTCGGCAACAGATACTCATACAAATACCTCGCCGGAAACCCGGACCTCAACCACGACTCCGGATCCTTATCCTCCTCAAACCGATACTCGAGCTGATACCTCTCCTGCACCTGGTAATCCTCATTATTCCCCGCCCACATGACAACACTCGGATGCCGCCTCAACCTCTTCAGATTCTGCCTCGCCTCCGCCTCGACGCTGGCCAAAAAGGTTGAATAGGCAGGATAACTCCCGCACGCGAAGCAGAAATCGTGCCATACCAGCACGCCTAGCTCGTCGCAAGCTGAGATCAGCGCCGAGGCCTCGTAGATGCCGCCGCCCCATATCCGGAGCATGTTTTGGTTCGAGGCGGCGAGCTGGGCGGCCCAGGCGCGGTATCGCGCGTCGGGGATGGCGGCGTGGAAGCTGTCTGCTGGGATCCAGCAGGAGCCGCCTGCGAAGATGTCGGTGTTGTTGATGCGGAAGTAGAAGGATTTGCCGAGGGCGTCTGCTTCTTGGATAAGTTGCACGCGGCGGAAGCCCGTTTTTTGGGTACGTGTTGATAGTGGTTGCCGTTGCTCCGAGATGTCGGACGTGTGATGGTGGAGGGTCGTGATGATTGTGTAGAGCGTCTGCGGACCGTAGTTAAGGGGCCACCACAACTTGGGTTTCTCAAGTCGGAAGTCTGCCGTGGCGACACCGTCCTCCGCAACAGCCATACGCTTCTCCAAAACGACCTCGTCGTCGAGACTAAACGCCACCACGACCTCCTCTGCGCCAGACCCCTGCGTCGTGACGATAATTTGCCCAGAAACACTCTCCAAATCCGGACTCACCTCGCTCTTCACCCACACATCATCGATCCGCGCAACATATCGCTCCAAAAACACAGGCTTCCAGATCCCCGCCGTAACGAGTATTGGGCCCCAGTCCCAGCCCCAGTGATACTGCGCCTTACGAACGGGGATCCGCCCTGCCTCTGTCTGCCGGGCAATGAACCTGTGCTCGTGGGCATGTTCCTCGACGAGCTGTCTCCCGCGGAGCAGAGCCGAGTCAAAGACAATCTCCAAGAGGTTGGGGCGGTCACCTTCTGTCTTGAGGTGTTGTGTGACGTTGACGCGGTGGGAGAGGAACATGTTGTCCGAGGTGAGGATTTTGGTGCCGTTGAGGGTGACTGTTGCAAAGGTGTCTAGGCCTTCGAAGACGAGGTCTGTAACTGGTGTGGTGCCGGGCGCTCCTGTGGTTAAACAGTCTGGCGGTGTCGGGAAGGCGAGGCGGTAGATCCAGGTTTTTTCTGCGACCCATTGGACGGCGAGTTCGTTCATGTCCAGGAAGGGGTCTGGGATTCTGTTGGTGGTTTGTTAGATTGTCTTTGGTGGTGGCTGTGAGTGTATGAAAGGGTGAAGGGGAGGGTTCACTTCTTGTTTGCCAGCAGATCGACGTGGACTTGGCTGGGGATGCTAGGCACAGGAAGCCATGCGTCCTCCGAGGCGTCATCATCTTGTTTGAATGTCCAGCCTTTACTGAGCTCATGCCTGATGAGAGCCGCCATCTTAACTGCTCAGACGCAGAGGTTTGTACTATGTGAGATGCAGTATACCCTCTCGGTGTAATGTGCCTCACCAAGAAAGAGATCACGGAGACATTATGAAACCAAAAAAATATAAACGACGTGACTTGCGCACTCTTATATATAAGACCCTCCAAAGCTACGATGTTCCCTCTTACACAGACCCGGGTGAAGACCGGAGCACTGGGGTCGACTTCCGGGGCATGACCCCCACATTTTGAGGAGCTTCAGGTCAGCCGATTGGGCTACGGCGTCAGGTTAGAGCTCGGGGTAGCACCGTCCGGAGCCGAGTGAACGACGGGCTACCGTGGGAAGTGCTGAGGAGTTGAAGTGTCCGGCTAAATGGTGGAGGAGACGGAGGTTTAAAGCTCCCCGTGTGATCCACTTTTGACGTTGGAGACGGCGATTTGAAGGCCCGATGGCTTGGATTGGGGCTTCGGGGGTATATGTGCCCGATCACTAATTACATTTGCAACTCTAGGATAGAATTTGATCTTTCGGATGGGCGATATCTTGGATGAGAAAAAGCATCCCATCTAATTTGCTAAAGCTTTGTCATGCTGTTCCATTTCATCGTTGCCTCTCGCTGGAAAGCTTCATCCTACATAGCTTCGTTTCCAATCCATATAAAACTTGCTCATCACATCAACGTATGTATCTCATAAACATCCTCAAACCTTGCTCTCCCCAGTAAACCTCCCCATCCAGTCAAAAACAGTCTTGTGCCAAACCAGCGAGTTCTCCGCATTCAACACCCAATGGCACTCATCATCAAACGTCAAGAACCGCGTCTTGACGCCCTGACACATGAGCGTGTTATACGCAGCAATCCCCTCCGTAATAGGACACCTATAATCCTTCTCGCTGTGAATAATCAACGTCGGCGGTGCATGCCTCCAATTCTTCAACAGCTCCGGCCGCGCAGGGTTCCACCGCTCCATCTCCTCGGCATTATCCCACAAAAACGGCGGACCCCCAAAATCCGGGCCCCCGTCGACGACGTCGCTCTCCAGCATGAAGACGGGCAGACTGAAAATACCGTCGTGCCAGATGGCGCAGGAGAAGCGGCGGATGAGGTCGTGCCCATTCATCCAGGAGATCATGTACCCGCCGTACGAGGCGCCCGCGACAACGGCGCGGTCGTGGTCGAGGTAAGGCAGCTGTTTGAGGTGGTCCATGAGGCGGACGAGGTCTTGGTAGGGCGCGCCGCCCCAGGAGCGGTAGATGCGGGCTGTGAAGTCGACGCCGTAGCCTGTGCTGCCTGCGATGTTGGGGGCGATGAGGACGTAGCCTTGTTGGGCCCAGAGGGCCATGTTCCACTGTCGGTAGGTGTAAGTCAAAGGTTGGTATGAGAGAAAGGGGGGGGACTGGCTTACCCTTGTTGACCATGAATCCGTCCAAGCTGATTCCGGCCCGCCGTGAGGTAAGAGGACCCAGGGATACTTCTTGGTCTTGTCAAAGTTGGCTGGTTTGATGATGAAAGAGTGCACAATGTTGTCATCTTCGCCTTCGTACCAAAACTCGGAGACCATGCTGTGAGACAGCCCGTACTTTGCGCCGTGTTTGGTCGCTGACGACACTACTTTTGGCGCCGTATTGAGGGAGACATCGAAAATCTGCCACAGACTGCTGTCAACCATGCTATTGCTCGTCACCAGAACTTTCTCATAGCTGCCCTCCTTGAGAGGGTAGAAAGCCGAGACGACACCGCTCGACGTCAGCGACGTCGCCTCTGCACCGTGACGAAGCTCAACGTGCGACAGCTTCACCCGTCCGCAATCCTCCGTCTTTAGAAAGATGGCATCAGAGCTGCCCGCGAATTCGAAACCACTGGGAGGCAGACTCGGGCTCTTGCCGAAGACCATCTTGTGTACATCATAGGCGGCCAAGGAATCAATGTAGCCCATATACAGTCGGGCGTCTGCAGGGTTGCTGTGCGGCCTGTGAAGAAAGGCAATCTTGGAGCCGTCGGGCGAGAACCTCACGTTGGAGTAGTACGCCTTGGCCTCTGATATGCCCATGACAATGGGCCTCGGCTTAGTGTTTGCGGCGACCACGAAGGATCTGAGAGGGACGTAGTAGACGTGGGAGACGTCCGCCTCCTCTGGCTTCAGTCCGGGGTCCTCGGCGATGAAGGCGATGCCCTTTTCGCTAATGTCGAATGCGTCTGTAGGATCGTTGACGTCGTACATGCCCAGTGGTGCCTCAAGACGGGTGTCTTTGATGGCGTTTTGGAGCTCGCCTGCAACTCCCCATTTGCCATGTGCGTTGACGAGAGTCGAGTACCAGAGAGCGTATTTGTGAGGTTTCATCAGCTCGTTCCACTAACATCAGGTATTAGTCGCGATATGTCACCGATTTCACCCACTCAAGCCAACAACTTACACGCCTCATGTGATAATCGTCAAAGATCCGCCCCGTAGACCTCTTCTCCACGATCTTATCATTAAACAGAGACCCATCAGGCCCAACTAGCCCAGCAACGACGAACCCGACACTCCCATCACCCAGAGCCTTGATCTTGAGAGCGCTAATGGGCGCATCGTACTCTGCAGCGACGTAGTGCTCCTTGGCCGGCTCGGCGCCATTGGCGATCCAGATCTGTGTGGTTCCCTTGTCGCCAGATTTCAAGTAGACGATATCGCTCGCTGTTCCGGGCAGCCACAGGGCGTCGTGGACTTTATCATCGTCGGTGAGCTGGTCGGAGGCGCCGGACTCGACGTGCATGAGGCGGACCTCCTTGAGGGTCTTGTTGTCCTCGAAGCTGTGGGTTGACTGGGTGTAGAGGATGAGCTTGCCGTCCGGGCTCGGGACGGCGGCGCCGCGGCGGGGAGCGCTTAGGAGCACCTCGGGGGTGAATCCCTTAGCCACGCGCATGTTCGAGGGATGAATTGAGATCGAATGAGGGGGTGTAGATTTGGGATGTCGATGTTATTCACAATTGATAGAGGAAATGCAACGCGATGATATCGATACAGTAAGATGGGATCAATTGAAACCATTGCCCTGGCAATGTACTGCGAGAGGATGAGACGCGGTTGAAAAAGGCAGCAGTTTACCTACTGCAGTAATCAGACATACGAATAAGGGTGACGCATGCTGTCTCCAGGGACGCGACAGCCCTTGCAGGCCGACAGCTTAAGCTTCCAAAGTCCCATTGGATTTGTCCGATTGCTTACCTTCCTGCTTGGGCCTTGGGGTCGTTTGGAGACGACGAGCATCTAAGCCAACTCTGGAAGGAAGCACGGTAACCGTAATGTAATGTACCCAAGGTAAGTACGGATTGGATGGCATGGGATGGGATGGATGGTACTTGGGCGCTGCGTTGCACATGCTGATGCCTGTTTGGCGTCGAGTATCTGTTTTCGCATAGAGATGGTTAGTTGAGTACCTAGGGTGATAGGTAAGCAAGCAAGCAAGCACGCAATCGTGTATGGATCCGATCTTTTGACAAAGGAATACGGTGCTGCCTCTTCGTGTTCTTGAAGCTGTATGTAAGGTTCTTGATTCGGATTGAATAGCTTCGTCCCGGAGCATTGTATCTATGTGCAGAGTCCATACGACGTACAGCTGGAGAGACACTCGCCAAGGACTTGAGAGGAATGGAAGGTATGGATCTACATAGTAGGTACGTACTTGAACCACGCGGCCCCCCGGCCTCTCTTGCGAAAGCTTAGCTAATCTATGGTATCCACTCATTAGGTAAGGTACATGGGACCCACTCGTCGGGTCGGGTACGTAGCGTGATCCCAATCATCCAATCCCATCATCCCGAGGTCGGGTGGGTCCATGTTCGCTCCCCCGGAAGGAAACCGGACGGCCAACGGGAGAGTAGCCGACGAGGAGACCCACTCTTGGAGATGCCTCTAGGCGGATGTCTTCTCTCGTTTGGTCATTTTAGGTGCATGCCCGAAGCGAACAAACACACTCGACACTCAAAGTCATGCCATCATGCGATTTCCGGGATTGAATTACACAGGAAACCCACATGAACATATGTCAGGCCAGCACGCACTTGACGTGACTTGGTGGAGGTTTCCTGTTAATGGGACTATCGCTAGGGACCCTCCCCGTGTGACCCCCACCAATCACCAAAACGAGCGTCTCCCTTGGTGTTTACTGGTCCCATGTATCCCGAGTCCGACTCACATCCCCCAGCTCTCCCAAAAGTGCGCCAACCCCCCGACCCCCGACCCCCGACCTCCCAAAAGGGACCCCCATTATTTACAGTGGCTCGGGATGGGATCCTGCGATGGAGACGTTGGAGAGAAAAATGCCATGTCCGTTCAACCTCCAGGAACTTCTGGAACGGCCGTCCCATGGACTGATAACACGCCAGAAATTCACACGCCCATGTCTTGCTTAGGTAGGCAGATGCTCGAGGTACATTATCATACTATGGACGTCAAAGCAAAGTCACATTGCACCACTATCCTCCTCCAGAGGTACGGACTATGGTACGGAGTAGTGTACATGTTTATGTAGACTGCAAATACAAGGGCCCATTCCTCGGGCCCCATCGTACCGACTATCTCCGACTTCGGTCTCCAGTAAGCTGAAATTTTCGAGCAACCATTCGTCCACACTCATCCGTAGCACCCATGGGCCATGGATGTGATACCTTAGTCCACTTTATTCTATCCCATGGGCCTCCAGGCTCTGCTATTTTTTTCCCTTCTGCCACGGACTACGGTCCCGTCCCGGGGTCGCTGGTCTGGCTCCTCGAGACGGCCATAATTGGGCGCGTCGTGCCCGGCTCCAAAGTCGCAAAGGAAAAAAAGCTGCGTCCCGGGCTGGTCTTCTCTTCAAACCATGGGAATTATTGTGTGTCCATAGGATAGCTCTAGCTCTTGTCCTTTTTCGTCTTGATTTTCCCTTGTTCCCTCTTCCTCTCTCTCTCCCACGTTCTACCTGTAACCTGTAGACTACCTATCTCCCCCATTGCCTTTCCCTCCCCCCCGCCTCATCCTTCCTCTTGAGGTCAATCACCCCCCAAAAAGAGGAACTCCATCCCATTCGTTTGTGTCGTCCCGTCCGACCTTAGGAGCTCCTTAGCTTCCCCCAAACCGACCGAACCTCACGACGTCATCCACGCCGATACGTCACCTCCTACATCCGAACCGGGCCTATTGACATCACCCGTCGCAAACCGAACGTCGGGAACCCAACCGGTCCAGCGCAATCGCAGCTCCCACCCCGCGAAATCGACCACCGCCAAGCATCGTGAGAGCTTCAACCTCCCAACCCTCCAAAGCTCGAACGTCCTCCTGCTCCTCCTTCGACACTCACACACACACAACTGCGCCCGCATGGCGGAACGAGACTCAAGACCACAAGGGCTCGCTGCCGCCGCCGCTGCTGCCACCGCTACCGCTTCCACACCCGTCGCGCCAGAGCTCAAGATAAAACCCCCAAGTCCGCTGGCCCTCGCCCAGAAAGTCGACATGGAGTCCAAAATGGGCGAGGCGAAGACCGCATGGAACACAAAGAACCTGGGCTTCCGCCTCGGCGCAGACCTCTTCAGCGCAGCCTGCGCCGGCACCTTGGTCGCGCCCTTGGTGTCTATCATTGACCGGTAAGCAAACACCACAACCCACCACCACCACCACCGCCACATACACACCCTCACAATGCCTCAATCCCCTCAGTCCCCCTTTCGCAAAACCACAAAAACTAAACCCATCCACCGCAGCTCCATCATGGAAAACGCCTCCGGCCGCCGTCCCCTAGGCGAATGCGTCCGCTCCTGCCTTAAAGAACTCCTCCTCCGCCCCCACGCCGTCGTCTTCTCCAAACCCTTCGCCCTCATCTTCGCCCTCTACGGCGGCACCTACCTCACAGCAAACACCCTCGACACCGCCTCCTCCACCCTCCACAACCACGCCGCATCATCCGTCACCTCGGGCACCGCAAAATTCGCCGCCTCCAGCACCGCCAATATCGGCATCTGCATGTACAAAGACCAAGTCTTTGCGCGCATGTTTGGTCCTCCCGGCGCCACGCCGCGTCCCGTCCCCATGCTCACGTATGCGCTCTTTACGCTGCGCGACTGCATGACCATCTTCGCGAGCTTTAATGTCCCGCCGAGGCTGGGCCCGTGGCTGAATGAGCGGATGGGCGAGGAGATGAGGAAGAAGGTGAGCGGGTTGACTGTTGTGCAGTTTGCTGCGCCGGCCATGGTGCAGTTTGCGAGCACGCCGTTGCATTTGCTGGGGTTGGACGTGTATAACCGGCCGAATGCGGCTGCGACCCCCGTCTCGTGGCAGAATCGGTGGCAGAGCGTGGCCAAGAATTGGGGGATTAGTACGATGGCGAGAATTTGTCGTATTATTCCTGCGTATGGTGTTGGTGGGGTTGTGAACCGCAAGGTGAGGTTGAGTCTAATGGAGAAGGCGGAGAGATGAAGACAGTGAGTTCCATGATGTTGTTATACGTGGAACCTGGTTTTCTCCGATCAAGAGCTGCCAGACGGTAGCCAGATGACTTTTGTTTTCTGTTATTGAGAACCTCCCCTTTGGCATTGGTTCACATGGATCGGCGTTTTCGGGCTTCTTTTTCTTTTGGCATTAGATGGGTTAAAGACAATGGGAGGCGGTACCAACCCAGCCGCCGGGACCATGGAACTGGGCATCTTTACATAGACGACAGACCGGGAGAAACCCCCAAAGCACACACATACACATACATACACACTTGTAGAATAGTAATTGCGCTGTAATCTTCTGCAAATCGCGCCGGCGAAGGCCTAGCACGAGATGTATATATCCAATGTTTTCAGTGTTCCAAAAAGACGGCATCTTCGCAATCACATCAGCCCGCTCTCTCTAAGCGCCTTCATCACCTCATCCTCCTCGCGATTCTTCCTGCGCCTGCGGTGCTTCACATCGCCCACATCAATATAATTCTTCCAAAACTTGAGCCCCTCGATGCCGTCCTCGCGGCAGATCACGCCCCTTTCCTCAGCCATCTCCAGCTCCTCTTCTGCGACGCCGATGCTCCAGCCGAACCGCTCGGCGGCATCCCGCGCCGTCACCCCGCGACCGAACTGTCGCCAGTCCCATGCCAGCTCCTTCTCTGGCGGGAACTCGTGGAGGTCGTCCAGCCAGGAGACCAGCGCCTTGATAGTGGTCTCGTCGGTGCGATCGCTACTCTGGACGACCAGGACACCGCTCTTGAACTTCCGCAGCCGGACGGGCAGCTTGAGTGACTCCCACATTTGAGATGCCTTTTCAAAGTCCATGGGGCTCACGAGCTCGACGCCGCCCCGGGCACGGTTGAACATGGCCCACAAGTCGACCAAGTTGATGATCCCGCCCGCTTTTTTCAAAACGCCTCGGGCGTCGTCTGTGAGGAACTCTGCCAGGTTTCTCGACAACTCGGAGAGATACAGCGTCTCGGAGCTGCTCCCGCCTACGATATCCTTTGTCGTCACCAGACCGAGCTGGCTGGCCGACTCGGCAAGTAGAGCGTTGGCCTCAGCGCCCGTCCCGCCGTTCTGCCTCGCAAACCTCTCCGCGAGGGCCACAATCTCCTTGGCGGATGCCATCAGGGCGTCCAGATCCTCGAACGCGCTGCCAATCATCACCTCGTTGTTCTTGCGCATGTCGAGCCCACGCTGCTCCAGACCCGCGATACCGACGCCCTTGGGACGCTCGGGTACCGCCGCGGGTGCGCGCACGAGGGCGCCGTTGTCGTCTATTGTGCGATTGCTCTTGGGTACGGGCGGCGCTCCCTGCAGTAGCCACTTGCGCTGCGTCAACGCCCCCTTGAGCCGCTCGTAGAATATCTTTTCTCCGCCTCCGCGGAAGGAGATTTTGATGTTTTCCGCCGTATCCTTACCGGGCGAGGACGTTGTGAGGACTGGGCCTGGAGACTCTGTCCTTTGCGTCTGCGCCTGCGTAACGACTGCCTGGGGCAGGTCTTGCGATATCAGGGGCGCCCCGCACATCTCGCACGACAGTAGGGATGGGTGATTTGAGAACGTGCATCGAGGGCACTGGAAGGTCGCGCTCGGGTCTGATGGCTTCGGTGGGGCACCGCCGTTGATGTTTGAGGCCGCTGGCCAGGGAGGTGGAGGTCCCTTGTTGTCGTCGGGCCTGTTGGAGGTCGATCGAGGGCGCATCGCGAGGGGCGAGCTGACTGTTGGGCTCGAAGGGGTTGCTGGAGGGGCGCGGCTCGTCGCATTCGAGATGGAAGCCTTCAAGACGTGCGCCAACGTCGGCTTGATGCCGCAAGCTAGACATGGCGGCAGCGGGGTGTGTATGTTTGCCGTCGTGGGATCGAAGTTTGATGGGACCGGGTTGGAAAAGCTGCAGATGGTACAGACCCAGGTCGCTGCGCTCGCTGGTTCGGGTGGCGGTCGGTAAGGTCCATCGGCTCGAGCTGGTGACCCAGCGCCGCCATTTCTCCCTGGAGTAGATATCGCAGAGGCTCTAGTCTGAAGTGACGAGCGTTTTATTGGCTTTGGGATCAGGGTAATCTTCGCAGAAGACTTCAAGAACCCCGCGTAGAACTCATATCGATCAATGTCTTTGAGGTCCAGCGCAACCGAGTGCTTGCGCGGCTCGTCCTTGTCGACATAGCAGATTCGGTGGGACGTCAGGTACACCTGGCCGTTTTGCTGTTGGGGCAGCTTGAACTTTCTAGAGGAAGAGCGTGGCTTGTTAGCATGTTGGCTATGGTGAGAGGAACCAAACGTGGCGTTCGTTGTATTTACCCTTCATAAAGCCCAACGTTGTCCTGGACGAACAACAAGACTTCATCCGGTAGGTAGGAAGGCCGGAGAGCGGTCGTGAGGTCGATGTGTTTTAGAAACATCCGTCATATTATTCACGAGCGTACCGAGGGTGATTGAAGCTCGCGCGCAAGACTGGGGGTTTGGATTGGAGGTGTTGAAGTATGGCAGGGGCTGTTTGCCGCGGGTTGTCGCATACGTCAGGAACGGTCTCGGGCTGGTTCGAAGGGTTTGAGGGGAGGGATATCGGAAGCCGGGTTCGGAGCTATTTCAAGGATTGCGCATGATTCGAGGGTAAAAGAGACAACTCCAAAGGTTTAGAAACACCGAACCAAGTATAGTTGAATGCTGTTGGGGCTGAAGAAACTCAACCGACGGCGCCTATGCCAGGCGTCAGTTTATCTCTCGCTACCTTCTACAGCTGCCCCACGGAGAAGCAACGGTCGAGTGGAGGGGGCGCTGGACTTCAAGGTGGGATGTTGCCGACCCACTATAACGATAGTCCTGCTTTGTTGCTAGCGCTGTGCATCACGGTGCACTTCTTGTGCATTAGGTAATCACTCAGGTAATTATAGCTGTGGCCCCCCTTGTGCCAGTGACAACCAAAAGTCTTTAGCCAGTGGCCACAAGGGCACTGTTTGGTCTGTTCTCCACTATTATTACCTGAAATCCCGCACACGGACCACCATCATTTTGTTACCGCCCTCACCTTTCACGGCTTCCTCCCAACCTCACTCTATCTTTTCTCCCTTCCCACCATCAACGCACCTTCGACCCTTTGATACTTCGACGCCAAAAACTCCTAGTCAACCTCAACCACAACAAGATCGCTAGATATACTTGTTCAGACCGATCAAGACTAATTTTCGATTCAGAATCATTCAAGATCGATCCTCGCAGCCGTCACCATGATGCCCACTAGCTGGCCTCCGGCGCCGCCTCCAGGCGTTGCCTATGGAGCACCTCCTGCCAACTATGCTTACCCTCCCAGTGAGTTTTTCTCTTGTCAACCTGAAGATATCCTTGTTTGATTTACTGACTTTTGATTCACAGATCCAGCATATACCGCAGTCCAGGCTCGACAAAGCTTCGGCCAGTATCCTCCCCCACCCGCTGCACCTGCCTACAGTACTTCGCCGCCACCCTTGGCTGTTCCCTTCGACCAAGCCGCTCCTGTTGCTCCTGCCCCGGCTCCACGAAAGGTTGAATGGCCACCCTCCGTCCGCGACTACGTCCAACGGTCTTTCCTGCCTCACAACATGGACCCCACCGTGCCGCGCCCCGAGATTGAAGCCAAGTTGAAGGAGACCATTTCCCAGCACATGGAGAACGGCACTCTCGAGTCAACCGACTGGGAGAAGATGCCCTTCCCCTCCGATCTGATCCGAAACAAGCGCCAGTCCCAGCTGAACTCCGCTATGAACGTCTCATCTCCATTTGCATCGCGATATGATGGTTCAGTGTCTGCCAACCCCAAGAAGAGAAAGTCGTCTGATTTTACCCCGGATGAGAAGTCTTCTGCCGTGCCTTGGCGTACTACTAACAGCAACCGGTCCAACGCACTGGAAGACCGAATCACATTCGCCTCCCCCGACAAACGCGCCAGCCACGATGAGCCACTGCCCAAGTCAAGTAAGTTCCAGAAGCAGTTGGAGAAGCGTCAACGCCGCTTCGATGGCGGCTACAAATCGTCCTACCGATCGCCCAGCCCTCCGCCCTCTGATGGACCCGTCGTCGGCACAAGCGAGACCTTGGAAAAGCGATACCTGCGTCTGACCGCTCCTCCGGTGGCCTCCATGGTTCGGCCCGAGCGCGTCTTGCACAAGACGATGGACCTCCTGAAGAAGAAGTGGAAGAAGGAGGGCAACTACTCTTACATCTGCGACCAGTTGAAATCCATGCGGCAAGACCTGACAGTGCAGCGGATCAAGAACGACTTTACAGTCACCGTTTACGAACTACACGCCCGAATTGCGTTGGAGAAGGGGGACCTTGGTGAGTATAATCAGTGCCAAACCCAGCTGCGTACTTTGTACGCAAAGGGACTGAAAGGAAACCCCATCGAGTTCAAGGCCTATCGCATTTTGTACTTCATCCACACTGCCAACCGTACCGGCCTGAATGATGCCTTGGCAGATCTAACCGCAGCAGAGAAGGAGGAGCGACCCATTAAGCATGCTCTTCAGGTGCGATCCGCTCTTGCCTTGGGAAACTACCACAAGTTCTTCCAGCTCTACCTGGACACCCCTAACATGGGTGCGTACCTCATGGACATGTTCGTCGTTCGTGAGCGTCTTGCTGCTCTATGCAACATTTGCAAAGCGTAAGTTCAACCCACATCTCTTCATACAGCACACCTCGCTAACTTGGATGCAGATACAAGCCAGACGTAAAGTTACGGTTCATCACGGAGGAACTCGGTTTCGAGTCCGACGTTGATGCGGCTCAGTTCATTGTCGACTACAACGGTCAGCATCTGCTCGAGGAACGACAAGAGTCCATTGCTCTCTTGACCGGCAAAGCCGGAGCCCTCTTCGATTCCGCCAGAAGTGAGGCTTTCCGCAAGGTTGACATCAAAGGACAGATATGAGTTCCTCGTCATCTCTGTTCTCATCACAATTTGCTCTACACAACTTCTAACCATCCCCACCGCCGACCCAAAAGCCACCTGCAGGGTCTTCCCTCCAATCCCCTCCCTCCGGTTCTCTCTCCAAAACCCACAGGCTCTTGTCTCGTGGACTTGGGTCTCATTCCTCCTCGTTTCCTCTTTCTTCTCTTGTTTTCCTACCGACACTCTCACAACATTGGCGTGCTATTTTACCTTGCATCACTTGCGCCCTTCGGAGACGTCTAATACCAGTTTTTGGTCACGGGCTTACGAAATATCGATTTTACCTCGCTGCTCGCCCCCCTCTGATGGCATTGACGCTTACGCACAGCTCCACGCAGCGAGAACGTTTTCATTCGTTCATGAATGACAGCGCTGGACGAGGGGTGCGATGCTTGGAAAACAGCGGCTCAGCCGCTGATGACGACCGATATTGCCGGCTTGGTGCCGGTCTTGGGCTCTGGGGGCTTTCTAGGCATGATACCCGTTCGCCCTGCAATCGCAGAGGCAGCAGGATGGCGTTCGAGCGGAAAATTCATTAGATCTATCTCCACAAGGGATAGATGGCGATTGGAGTTTGTTACGCACGTTTGCATATACGTCATTCAGCTTTAATGGATATGTCGCAGGCTGCCTTGTGCAGCCTGGCAGCAATCCGGTCTACTAAGACCTTGTGGGATCTATACATTTGCTACATTACATGTCTGATTTTGTGCAATGTGATTCTCATTCCCCATTTGTTGATTGCTTGCAAAGCGAGTGTCATGCGCCTTGGTGGCAGTAACCATCTAAGTCCCTATGCCATCTGCAGTCGCGGATAAGGTATGGCTGCTGCAAAAGTAGAGGCGATGGATCTCTCACGTCCATGCCTAGTCGGTGCCACATCGTGGCAGCCCTCGTGCTAAGAGAAGACTTGACATATCGCGGCCTTGCATTTTCGTACCTGTTAAGCACGGTCTCGTTGAGGCAATCTGGAGAAAATCCAACCGTGCCTGGAAACAGTGTCTGGTGGTTTCAATGGACAAAGACGGTTATGATTTGCGGCTTTGGGTACTCCGTACCAGACCTTGAAGAGAACGGCACTGGCATTATGGGTTTTGTACACACTGAGAGGACTGCAGGAGGGTCTCGTCACCGTCAACATCGCGGTTGCAGTTTCTTGTGAGTTGGGTAAACTACATGCCTCGACGTATCTGGGCCTTGTCATATCATTCACAATTTGGAGATTGGGTTGAAGAAGGGGGGGGGGGGGGGGGCAAGCTTAATCCAAACAATGTTCCATTATTGTACAGATTGCTTCTAGAAATGGATGCGGAGAGCAAACCCCCATCCCCTTGAGAGGTGGCACACCGCGCAGATTCCAGACGAGAGAGAGAGAGGCTTATTGAGATATCCTACGATACGCCGACATATCCAGATACGACATACCGCCGCGAAACGGTATCTTCCAAAGGAGAAGATCGATCGACCATCATCCGTAGGGTATCGAAACAGAACCGAAAATTTGAGGTCGAGAAGCAACTGTGAATTGCCGCAGTGGGCTCTGTGGCAGATATAACTCGACTGTCTGTACCCCCCCTGACGCTCCGTAGCCAGAAGACGATGAGACCTTGGCGCATTCCTCCCAGTCACAGTCTAGGCTAACGAACAAAAAGCTTTCAAAGTCTCTTGTGTGTAAAGACCCAGCGTCATGGGACTGCGCTGCAGGGGAGGACATACAAGCCTCAGCCCCAGCCTCAACCTCGACTTGGAGCATGCACATAAAAGACACTGCCCGATCAAGGGCCGAAGAAGTCGCCAACCTACCTACCCACCTACCTACTTGCCCACTCTCACCTTATCTAGCTTACCTCCGCCGAGCGCCTCCACAGCGGTCTAGACCCATCGACCCTCGCATAGACATCTCAAAGTCCAATTAACTGCAGACGGGATAAACTAATCCGACTTGGGGTGTGTAGATGTTCAGGCGAACACGGGCGTCTTATTCCCGTTCTTAAAGAGAATAAGAAGAAGGAAAAAGACCGTGAGCTATTCGCACGTTTAACGGAAGGGCAGCGGCCGTGCACAAGCCCATGGAAGCAGAACAGCATGTTGCTGGCATTATCCAACCATGAGCCAAACTCTGCTCTCGTCGTCCATCTTTTCAAGCTCACCTTTCGGGCCTTCGGGGTTTCCTCCCTGCAGGTTATCGTTGGTTCGAAGAAAACAGCTCGAAGTAGAAATCCCCTCGTCGCGATATGACAATTCACGTACGTGCGAAAGAGACTACAGACGCGACGCACAAACCCGCACGAGGTCCGGGGTCTGCCATCCCGCGCTTAGATGGTCAGGCGCATCGAGGGGACGGATGGCATTACCTACATGGAAAAGAAAAAGGTTAAAGCTAAGAAGCTATAGCATCGTCTGGGCAAGCTTTCGAGCCAGGGGGCTCGAATGGAAACAAAAGGGTGAGAAGGATGCTTTAGGGCGCAAGGGAGAAACGCTGTTTTTGAGTTTCGGTGAAGCCTCATCACGAAGAGACTAGTCACGCCGAGGTAGGTCGTGTTGGTGGTGTAAGGCAACCTTTCAAGACCTCGGAGTGTTGCTGTGTTCCCGGGGGAGGAGAGAAGCTGCAAGGCCATTTCCTCCCTTTTCCGTGGTGGAAATCGTGCGGGAGACGTCGCCAGAAACCCGGTGATGAACATTAGTGTCATCAAACTGGCTTACATGCTCATCGAGAAGGCGGCAGCTCTCTTCCCCCGGGTGTTCGCACACGCGTATAACCTGCAGCAGAATACGGTAATAGATGGTGCAGCCGACAAGCCAGCTTCCTTTCCGGGTGATACATAACATCGATCGCATGGCCCATGTCGC